TTAATGCAGGTAGTAACTACAAAATAACAGTAAATCCAGTCCGCATTTATGACGATGTATCTCTGTAGTTGTTCGTAAAATAATTTTTTACTGCGAACTGGTTTAATTTGGGCAAAAAATTCAAGAGACATTTTTTTTTAGAATGAAACAGGCTATCGGAAATAATTTTTTAAATGGTAAAAAAATAATAAGACAAAAAATTACGTTGGAAATAAATTTTAGGGGTTGCGTTTTCCACCCCTTACTACCATGGGGTAAACCAAATAAATTACTGGCTAAGTGTCTTTTTGGTAGTAGAAAATGTCAGGTTAATTTCAATATTGTAACTTGTTTAGTGCTTGTGAAAAAAATTGTTAAACAAATTTTATGTACCCCCTTTAAGGGGCTGTATCTTAACAAGGGATGCTCCAATGAAGTTTCTTTATATGAAAGATCCTATCTTTTTTTCGATGAGGAATCACCCCCTTAAATGTTTTACACTTATTTAGTTACACCCTGTATATCTCTAAAATGAAGCGACGTCCCTTCATGGAGTTTTTTTTGTTATTTCAACCACCAGATTTCACACTTTAATTTTGTTCAATTGATACTGAAACATCGCGTATAACTTCACCATCTATCGATTTAAAAATATATAACCTTACCCAATAATTCTGTCTTACTGAAATACGGGTGCCTGCTGTATGTTTTTCCGATCTCACAAGTAATTTTCAATTTAATAGGACAATAACTAGCTATAATAAAAAGATAATTGCAGATAAACATTGCTTCTTTACATTCAATTTATTTTATTCCGATATAGATTTTTAAATTTGGCGAATGCGCTCGGCACAAAGGCGTACAAGCCGTATTGATGATTTAAAAAAAAAAACAGCAGTTGAACTTAATCATAGCGAGCTCGAAATACCAGGGGCTTGTTTTTTTGTAAATATTTTTCAACAATGCACTCTTTACTTTTCACTTTACGAGTTTGCATATAATGATCGAGGATCATGTTGAAAAGGGCAAAGTGAAAATTGTATTATGCAAAGTTTCTTTAATCTGTTTATTTTATTAGGTAAGTAGTCTGCATTTTTTACTTTTCACTTTTCAATCAGGGACAGAAAAGCGAAAAGCGATGAATAATTTTGCTTCTAAACAGATTTACACTACTTTTTGACCGTATTTTTAAGTAATGTTTAGAAAAATAAATGTGAAATTTGAGAGATAAAAGTCATTTTGTAATAAGCTTACCAAGTAATTTAACAGTCAACAGTATTCAAAAGAGGAAATTTTAACATTTGAAATTAGCAACTGATATATACTTGGCTTAGTGCAGGGATAAGTTGTAAACGTCAAAAAGTAATACTCAAAGAATTCATGTAAAAATGCTGCCGCACTGTTACTATTATCTAGAAATAATGTTCTATCTTATCTAAAAATCAACAGGCAAGCCTTAATTGAATAATATGGTATGTCGCAATAGAAAATGGCTAATATATGCGGTCCACAAGCCCAAGAAACATTCAGTGAATGGTTTCCACGTCTCTCGACATAGGTTTCTTCAAACTAATGAGAATGATCAATGTTTACTAAAGTCCCATCAACATAGAATTTGTTTTTAAAGTATGGTATATAAAGTATTTTAGTTACACCCAGTACATGTCTCTTTAGAACGAAGATCACTCATCAGAATCCATTATCTCCTTCAGAACCCTTCTTATAAATTGCGTATAGTCGTCTTCTTGAACCCATTAATGATTTATTAAAAACTAAATATTGCAATAAATTATTTTGAATGCAAGATAGTCACTACCGGCTGTTAGAATATTTAATGAAAAATCGTTTGCAAGTAGGTAATACGGTTTACAAGATATTGTAGAGAGTTGCAAAGCAAACAAGGAAGCGGCTTGCGGATCTTTCAAAAAATTGAAAACTAAAAAGAAGAAAGTAGAGGCTACTTAATAAAACAGAAAAACTTTGCATACTCCACTTTTCACTTGGTACTCTTCACTTTTCAACTTTTTACTCTCACTTTTGGAACTATAAAAATCATAACCCAGAAAATAGCTCAAAAAGTGAAAAAATAGCTCAAAAAGTGAAAAGTAAGTAAGAGTGAAAAGTAGAAAAGTATTTTTAAAAAATATGCCCCTGGTCTGAATGGTGGCAAACTCTCCACAGAGCGTGGCGGAACTCCAAGCAGGTGAATCAGAGGAGGCCGGCGGCGACGACGACGGTTCGGCTAATGTTTTCGTGGCCGGGTTAGACCAGACGCCCCGCGACTCGCGAATCGCTAGCACGATTCGAGACGTAGCTTCCCGCTCGGTTGCCAGCCGCACATGTATTTTGTTTATGGGCTGAAACTCGGACCCATTTCGTGCTGAAAATCCGAATGGTGAGTTTCGCGGAAGATCCGTTCCGGGAAACCTGATGTAGTGCCAGACGGACAGAAAAAAAGTGATACGAGCCGGCAGAGGTTTATCGTCTACGATGCATTTAACATTTCGTGGGTACAGTAAATATTTGCAGCGTTTTAAAACCGTTTACCCAGGCTTACAAATCAAGTAAATAGATTCTGTTGTCTCGGGCCAGACACCGCGTTTCTGTTATTTTTATGTATATGTACGATAAGTCAGTATTGATAAAATTTATCTGTGTTGTTGCAATTTTTGCAGTTTGTTATTGTTTTGACGGGTAATATTGTATTTGTTAGCCAAAGGTTTGGAAGTAAATTTCTTTGTGATATTTTGTGCATTGGTCTGTGATAATCTGTGAAAGAAAGATGATGAAGAAGGAAAAGCCAATGATGTCGGTTACTGCTATCATACAGGGGGCGCAGGCACAGCACTGGGGCCGGACCCTGGCAGGATTTGGGGGCCCACACGTTCCTCTAGGTAATCATACTCATAATCTGCGAGATATCACGGCTAATCAGTTTGATTAGCTAATATTTCGAACAAACGCGATCGCTGTGTTTTCATGAAGCCACCCTCATATCTCTTATTTGAAATAATTACCTGCAAAAAAATTATTCTGATGTAATTAAATTTGATTTTAGTCATAGGCGTCCGGTTCTAAAATTGAAAAATGAATGAACTTTTTAAATGAACTGTATTAGCGTTTTTTATCCAAAAGTTTATACTGTATTCTAATTTAGCTTGCCCAAAAACCCCTACTAATTTGATTTAAAATCTAAACCATTTAGTTTTTTTCATTTTTGTCTAATCATTAATTAAAATCAGATGATAAGGTTTTCTTTTATTTTTTTTTTAAAGCTGTTCAATTTTTTTTCTATTGGCAATAAGGGTTTAGCTTAAGAATCTGACAGCCCTTTTTCTCTATCGATTCTTTCATTTATTGAAAATATCCACAACAAAAAAAGTATGCCGAAAGAACAAAGAAAATAATATAACAACATTAAATAATTAAATATATGTACATATATCTCTCTCTATATTTCAATTAACCAACTTCCTTTTCTGTGCACTGTTCAACCTTTTTATTACTTTTCTTATTTCCTGTCTAGTAATTTCGCACCACGTTTGCGTAATTTTATTTTCTGAATCCTCTTTTACGAAACCTATCTTTATAAACTTTCTTCTGAATAGTGCTCCAGAAATAGGGATTCATTATTAAATGTTATAATTATATTATAACTTTGTTTCTTTTATCGTGTATTACTTGAGTATTTTCAACATATGTGAAAATATTAGGAGCATATAGACTAGATAACGGCTAGATAAAAAAAGTTTTCTCGAGAACTTCATAGCTTATATAAAACAAAATGTGAAACGAAAAGCTTATTTAATTTTGATAGTTTTGTTCCTACGTTAAAGTAAAAAAAAACAAATTTTTGGGTACGCATATTTTGAGTACGTTTAAAGATATTTTGTTCAAATTTGATATAAAGGGGTTTATAGTGACGTTATTTTAAAATATATTACCAACTTATAGGTAAAAAAATCGCTTGCATTTTTTTACCCCTCTTTTATTTTTAGAACCGAATGCCTGTGACTAAAATCAAATTTGGTTAGGTATATCAGAACAACTGCTTTGCAGGTAATTATTTTCTATCAAAATATCAAAATATAGAAAAAGTAGTATTAACATTAAAACTTTTTTATATATCTATATTATATTTTGTCACACTGGAAAGAAAAAGAATTAAAAATATTTCTCAATTTAAATAATAATATCTGGCTTCAAGCTAAGCGGTTAATTTTGGGAAATTTAATGTCTAATAGCGAACTCTCGGAAAATTAATGACTTTGTAGCTGTGAGATATTTTTTATTTAATTGGTTTTTCTCCATGTGGCAGAGTACCAAATTAAATACGAAAGCGCTAAAAATTACCGCAAATAAATAATTACAGACAATATGTTAATTAACATCAAATCTTTCATATCAACTCTGATACATTTTCCGCTTTGAAACAATTTATTTATCGCTATTCTGTCGTACCGTGTTGAAAAATGTTTACACTTACGATATCAACTTAATATTTTTGCGCAGAGTGAATGAATGACATGGGCCTTACTGACCTCAATTTCTTAACTCATAAATTAATCATGGCCATTCATATTTTGGAATCTCGTAAACAGAATGGAATATTAGTAATTTAATATCTGTGACGTATATCTGATCTAATTCGGTTATGATTTTAATAAATGAACTTGTAAAGATTAAATAAACTTTCCTTTAATCAGAATTAAGTACGCAACAAAACAATAATTTAAATCAATTTCAATTCACGGAAATAATTTTTCAGGCACTTTGTAATAGTCGTGTAATAATGAATGCAAGATTGACTATCTGCGATTCGCTATACCTGTGTTAACGTTACTTTCAAGATCGTATTTATTTCATTTATGTTTTTTTTTATAATAAACTCAGAGCTCGTAGGTGTTACCTACGTTTTTAACCAACTCTTGCTCTGGTAACCACTGTCTTTTTACTTTTACTTTAGTGATATATCTGTTATTAGTGGCAATTTTAATTAATATATTTTTCTTTCATTTAAGGCTATCCTTGTACAAACGGTGAGTATTTTATGCTAGAGCCTGCTTGAAATTTGCTTATAACTATGCTTTTTAACCATTCAAAATGATCACACACAATCATATATTGCTCATGAGCGCACCAATATTGTAAGATTTCCATTAATATTTATTGTTTCCACGTATTGTTTGTAACTTATGTCTTCGATGGTTGAAATAAACTTTTCAAATATTCAATGTATGGGTAAAATTTGCAATGCTTGTCTTGAAAATGTTTTGTACTCCTCCATGTCTTCATATACGTTGTGTTTTTTCGTTAATTTTTTTAAAGTTATTATTGGAAATGGGTGTGCCGTGCCTTTCTGTGTCATGCGTCATGCATAAACATAGCTTATGCGGAAGAAGTCCCTCAACATAGGAAGACGGTGGACATATCCGAGAATCACCTGATAAAAAGAACGTCCTCCTTTTATATGCGATGTGAGATAGTATAGCATTTCACAATGTTGCACGATAAATGTTGCAGAGAACGTCATCCGATGAGCAATATTTTATTAAATCGTTTAGGTAATTAGTTCGTTTTGGACTTCCTTCTAATTACCTAATTGTGCAATTTTTTTCATTGCAAGATGCTTGTCGTATATTGTATATAAATTATTTCCATTGTATACCTACGCGTGCTACACAATTTCATAAAAAAAAATGATGTATGTAGCACTTTGTCATTATTATAAGTATCTCGCCCATACTGAAACATTGCGAGCCAACAGACTATGTAGATACTGTCACATTTTGATTAATATAATTCAAATAGTTAAAAGATTAATAAAATCATATAAAAAATTAAAGGATAAAACAGAAGTCTTTTCTCAAAAAAAATCGGTTCGGTTACAACAGAATTATTAATTCCAAAGGATCACTATGTAAATTACATGAATATATTGAATTAGAATAGATTTTCTTAAAAAATAATAAATGAGAATAAGTAAAAATCACTCTGTGTGTAAATCACAAACGAGGAGTTTGTAAACCTGAAAATTTTTCTTGTTTCTAGTTATAAAATCACGTGTAGAATTTTTTTGCGGAATAGTGAATACCCTGTATGTATAGTGACAATTGTTGGCAACGTTCTGGATTTAAATATACAGGGTGTTTCTGAAATAAGTTAAGCAAGTGATGGTCTAAAACATTACTTTTAAATTGAAAAAAAAATCACATGATGGTTTAAACAAATTAAAGCCGTGTCTGGTGCGGCAGCCAGCTGTACCTTTGATATCGTAGTCGCCGCGCGCCGCAGTGCGAAAGCCCTGATGGCGGTTTTGACGGTTGGTGTTCGAAAATGCTGAAATTTAATCAAATAAACGAATTACTTACCAATAAATGATATGCTCTACAAAAATTCCATAACCTTTGAACTGCCTTTTGCACTGTTCTACTGTTAGGTTGTCGTCTGTTACGGTAACTCACCACAGACAAACTACAAGTCTCTTTTAAATGGTACTGGCATTCTCCGTTCATTAACACCATATCTGCTAGTTCTTGATCAGAAAACTTTTATATGCCGGCTAAGTAATACTCCAACACACAACGCACGTGCACAAGATGCACAGGGTCGGCTTACATTTATGGTTATTTTTCGTATTAATTTTCTCGAAAACAGAAGCATTTGACCATTAGTTGCTTAATCAATGTTGCTCATTCTCGTGCCCTCTCACTATTTTCAAAGAACGCATTTATTTCAGAAACACCCTGTATATACAATTTTTGAGGTGCATCGTTTTACGTATTCTTTTAAAAAAATAAAAAATAAAAATAAAGCAAACGAAGTTGTAAGTGCGAAATTGGAAATATATGGTTTCAAATCTGTCAAACCCAGTAACCAAGGAAATCTCGAAATATCTGATTATGTGCAATTTTAGTATGAAACGCGACAAAAAGTTATCAATAAAAGTTTCTCAGAATGAAAAACTGAATATTATGTGCAAAGTTTCAATGACTTACTACATCGATTTTTGCTAGATTTATTTTTAAATTTTCATCCTTTTTTGTTGAATAATCACAAAATGTTATTAAGAAGAGTTTCTCTGAATATATGTGCAAAATTTTAAAGTTTCTAGGCGCTTTATATATTGAAATTTGGACACTTTTTCAGTTTTTCTCTTATTTTTTGTATTTCATAGAGAAATGCAACCAGAATTGAGTTCCAAAAGACCAATTTTTTTCAATACCATCATCTGTTGTGTACTATAAGAGTAGTTTCACGTATCTGGAGACACTCTGTATATTATGTATATTATCTGATTTTTTTAAAGAGGCAGGTAAGACGTACTCGCTGCAATACAGATTTTATCAGGCTGTTTGTGCTTTTCTTAACTTGACTATGGAAAATGGTGCAAAATAGCACGGACAAGGTTACAAATGATTATGAAGATTAGGAACTATTAGAAGACGCTTAAATGAATATGTCAGTAACAAAGGCCTTGCCCGTAACATCCAAAACAGTATGTGTCAAAACCGATATTAAACCATTAATATTTATTTATCGTGTGTTGCATATTAAGCGGAATTGCAAATATAAAATATGCTAATTTTATGGAGGTCTCACATCACTTCACAGATTCATGGCCCCCCGGGCATTTTATTAAGTTGAGGCCCCATATAGGAAAGCAGCCTCCTCTCGGTTTGCATTTTTACATGTTTTGTTTACTCACCGGGTGTTGCGCGACAATGCGCAAATATATTTGTTAACTTTGTCAATCTACAATTTGTATAGTTATTATATAGGAATACACTAAGAGAAATATTAATTGGCATTCAATCATTTCCGTTTGCCCAAGACTAATTAACTTTTTAAAAACTAAACTAATCCTAGTTTTGAGTACATATGCTAGATGTGCAGTTTTAAAGATAACTTGTTATAAGTTTACAATATTTACAAAAAAAATATAACATCGCAACGAAAATCTAGTTTGTTATCTTACTTTTGAATTTTTATTATCGTTATCAATTTTTGATTCAGCGTTTTTCCGTTTTGCCACAGCACTATTGTTAAATTCTAAATCTCGCTCTATCTGCTCTACTATTTCTAGAACGGTCAGTTATTTATTAAATAATAAATTAAATAAATTGATAATTATTGATTTAATTTTTCGCAAACGAAAATCGAATATCAGATATTGACATGCACTTTACCTATTCATGTCAACGATACAATTTCAGAATCGTGTGAGAAAATTTAGTTCAACATACTATTTATTATACAGGCGCCTAGATCTAGCTGATTATATTTAATCTATGCTGACATAAAAAAAACAGACGATATTCCGATAAGGACAAATTAAATCTTTTGGTTTCTGAATCAGAATCTGTCGATTTAAATGCGTTATGGGAATTTTGGAATTCGTTTTTCTGTTGAATAACAATTTTTAAGTACGTCAGATTAGACTGTAACATTTTTTTCACATCACAAATTTTACAATTTTTCTCGCGTCAAAATGTTTTTAGTTCCATTAGCTTTCTCTCGAGAATTAAAGTACCGACCACCAGATATATACCGGTTTGCAACTTATTAGATGTCCAGGACTTCAAACGGTCAAACTAGCAGGAAGCGATCTGCTAGTGTTGTCCTACCAGTTCAAAACCTGTAATAGTCTAAGATCCCGACTTAGTTTGACCTTCACCCATTGAGATTTTTAATGAAATTTGAATTTTGATAATGTATTAATAAACAAAACTTGATTCAATTCAAAATTCAATTCAATTCAATTCAATTCAATTCAAAATTAAAGTTCAATTCAAAGTTAGCTATTTATACCTGTCTACCTGGTTTTATGCAAGGAACAAAAATGTCGACCAAACTTTGGCATATTGTATACGTATTTTACTTTCGATTGGTAATAAATTTATCCTAAAAATCAACAACTACATTCATGAAAAAAAGTAATTTTAATTTTTTTATTAAAAATAGCTGTGCAGAGAAATTGGATGTCGGCCAAATCGACTCGATGGGTGACGGTCGATCTAAGTCGGGACCTTGTACTATAATATGTGTGGTGGTTTCTGCTGACGAATGATCGTAGCTGTTTACTAGTTATTGCTAGTATATTCCAATGCTGGGCGGGGTTGTTTTCCGCCATATCAGTTTAAAAAAATTATGAAAATGTATTTATCCATATGGCTACGTTTCTTTCACTTTGTGAAAAACTGATACAATAATTGAACAATAATTCAGTGTACTGTACCCCAACTGGTTCATTTAGTTAGTAGTTGGATCGTAGCTAGGTACTAATTATACACTAGTTTGATTCAAAATCTGTTTTTCACGCCCAATATTTATTTAGGGAATTTATTTTTCTTACTTATTTTGACGAAAAAATCAGTATTGATAATTAGTCGTAAGGGCTTTGACAAAGACTCTTTGTCAAACATATTTGTAGATATTATGATTAATTTTAAGTTTGCTACATTGACACATCTACTTTGAAACTTCATATCTAAAACAATTCTTGAGCGTAAACTATGAGTTGTGCTTGGCTATAATTGAGAATATACGATGACAACATAGATAGTTAAAATGTAAATTTTAACATTTATATTATTATGTACACTGAAAAAAATGCGTTTTATTCTTTATTAGAATTCTATATACCATTATAAGACCATTGTATACTATATGTGACAGATAAACAGGTGAATATTGGATATAAAACGCGTATTGCCAGCACAGTGACTATAAACCTTATTCTTTATTAAATTATTGTATAACTAGTATACAACGTTTTTTATACCCTTTACGAAATAATAGCAATAACTGTTATTAAAGTGTTCCATATCGTTATTAGAACATCTAGTACTGGTTATAAGTTTTATAATAATAAATGTATTAAACTGTTGTATACTCTGTATGAGTTAAAAACATATGTCATTAAGTTTTCAGAAATTTTATTGGATAACTGTAATTACAAGCTAAGGTTCTAATGTAAACATACATAAAACATACTTTTAAGCATTAAAAATGATGACAAATCGCTCCCAAAACTGTC